TAAATGTTACCTAACTCATATCTTATTTTCCTTAAGTTCCCATTAATCACATGTGTTCTATTCATTAAATATCACAAATTGCTCTAGTTATTATGTCAAGAAAACCTCCAAGTTCAAACCAATAGTATCTGAAAGTATTTGATTCAGCAGTTTTCATGATAGGGCAGCTGAAAAAATAAAAAATGATTGATGAAGTAGTCACACCCATTTAAGCCACTGGCAAATATCATGTATCCCTTGAGATAAGTGGCATTACCACCTTTCCTACATGTACACACAGACACGAGTCCATATGGGAACAACTAATAACATATGCAAAAAAATACTAATGCCCTATGTGTGTTATTAAGTAGAGAATGCCCGTGATATCATAAAACAGGTAATAATAATTATTATTATTTACAAGTTAGTTATTAAACTGACAAAATATGATTATGGTTAATAGCATTTAAAGTTAATTGAAAAAGTCATTTAGCAAAGACAAGTTTTAATTAAGTATCAGAAATATAGTGTGTGAGATTATATATATAATGCAAAAACATACATGTCCTAATTTTGAAAATAATTTAATGAAAAAAATGGATCGTGTCAATTATAATTTTTAACTATCTTCCTGTTTATTTTTTGGTCACTTATTTATCCAATTGATTTTTGTTTTCCTTGATAGCATTCACTAGAGTTAAATTTTATATAATCCCTTTGTATAAACAAAGTACTTTCGTTTTACTCCTTTGTAGATTAACGGACTATATACATCTTTGTGAGCATTTAATATTCCAACAACATTATTCTCTAAACAAAGTCCACCACAGCTATCACTTAAATAGAACATGTTTGAACAGAAACCCAAAAGACAATATTTGATGTGGGGGAAATAATACAGACCTTCAAGTAGAAATGATAGAATTGAATTCCACTTACTCAGAGCCCAGCACATAATAGCTGGTCAATGGTTTTAACTGCTACCGATTTAATAAATAAGGCATTAATACTACTTTATTAACATAATTAAAATTAGGCGCAGTACAATTGGTCCCCATTATCAGTCAACCATGAATAGAAAATACATACTAGGTAGTTAAGACAACGATGGTTTTTATCTGTACTTACTTTTTCCAGCCATTACTCACTAAACAATATAGTACAACAACTATGTACATGGTGCTTATATTAGGTAGTATAAATAATCTAGAGATGGTTTAAAATATAGAAGAGGATTTCAAATGTTAAATACAAATGCTGCTCCATTTCTATAAGGGACTTTAGCATTATAGATTCTGGTATCCATGAGGGTATGAAAACCAACTGCCACTGATACTGAGGGGATGGGAGTAAAAGAGGATCAGGTAAGAACATAAATGTTGCTGTCAGAGTGCCTGGATTCAAATCCTGGGTCATCTACTGATGAAATGTGCTATCCTGGGAAAGGTACTCTGTGACAATTTCCTTACTGTAAAATGAGAACAATAATACTGCCTATATAATAGATTCAATTTGTGTATCAAATCTCTATAAGAATAGTACTTTGGTTAGTGTACATTAAATAATAATTCCAAATAAGAGTTTCCCTTTTTTAAAAGATTTATTTTATTTATTTATATATGCAAGAGCTGGGGTATAGGCCAGAGGTGCAGAGGGTGAGAGGACTCACCAGAGACAGACTAGGGAGCAGAACAGGCAGACTGACTGAAATACACTGTTAAGGGGAGAAGCAGGTGAGACAGGAGAGGTCTGCTGTACTATGTGTGGGTTAGCTCCCCAGTCGGGGATCAAACTCATGCTGCAGTAGCTGGCAATAGCTTGATAGTACTAAGACTTAACCTCTTGCACCACCAGGGATACCCCAAGAGTTTCCCATTATTATTTTACTTAATGATATTATAGATGGTCAATAAACTGCCTGGGTTTGAATTCCAACTCTTCCTTCCATTATTGAAGTGTGACCTTGGAAAATACATTTACCCTCAGCATGGCTCAATTTTAATGTATGTAAAATTAATAATAAGTCTCAGAGGGTTCTGGGTAAGTATATATGTGCATATGAAATATATATTATATATAATGTTTTAAGTATGTGTATATATATCTTCTCTCTATATATATCCTATATATGTCATTGCAAAACTATAGAAATGTTAGCTATTATTATGAAAATAAAAACATAATTTTCAGGAAATGTACTAAAATCTTAAGATGTACAAATTGAACCCCTCTCACAAACAAAAATTATATTGTTTTATTAATGCTAATAAAGTAGATAATTTGGTTTGTGATTTGTTTGAGTCAAAGACCTTAGTTTCCACATATTTTCTCCATGAGAAAAAAAAATGTGCTATAAATTAAAATATGGATTTATGTCCAAATAATTACTGAGGTTCAGGAGCAAATCTTTTCCTCATTTCTTGACAGGTGTTAAGAATACAGGATAAAAATGATTTCTTTAGACTTAGCCCAAGTTTCAGAGCAGGTTGATTAGTGCACTAACAATTCAATCCACCTCAGGTTATGTGGAAATCAAGTGCAGTATTGGGATTAGAAAGTCAGATTAACTGATTGCCCACAGTAACCACAAACCCCTTTCCTCTGGGAAAATTTTTTTCCTGGTTGTGAGAAATACCATATGCCTACAGTAAATAGCCATTAGCATACGAAACACCAGGTGAGATTATATTCATCCTGTGAGATTCCAGAGGGCCTTTCTTGACAGCAATGGAAACCATGGCTCCAGTCTTTAGGACACAACTCTGAACTAGACAGTAAAGAATAAGTAGGTAAAAACCTGAATGCTGGAATTCAAGTCAAAATGCTCATTTCAGTGAGGCAGGAAACTAGAAACCCGACCCCATGTCTGACTGCCTTGCTGAATTCAATCTGAGAAGTCCAAGCACTCAAACTGAAAATTGATGTATTTATTTGCATTGCTTTTTAAGAAAAATTTTTAATCTTTCTTTCTTTGGCCTTTTAATGTCTTGCCTGAATTGCTATTTTAGGAAATCTAAGCAGTTTCAGATATACTTATTTTTGGTAACAAGAACCTAAGAATAGACACACTCCAAGTCCCTCAAGCATCACTACTACCTGAGGTTGTAAATGATACTTGCAGATATTTTATAACATACATTCTTTATATATATAATATATAATGTATATATTATAATGCATATATTATAATGCGTGTGCATATATGTATGTATATGTATATATATATTTATGTGTGTATGTATATATGTGAATCAATCTATCATGTATTTGCTTTACTTGGCAATTTAAAATGCATAATATTTGCTGCCCAGGACTGATTCTTTTTTTACTCTGACAATATAATTGTAATGCAATAATTTTTAAAACCTAATATGTAATCATCATTGAGAAGAACTTATTCTATCAACTAAATCTAAATGCATTTCATTCCTTTCAAAACTAATTTAAATGGCTTATTTTTAACTACTTAATATATTTCAGGATTCAATTTTGATCTGAAAAATTCTCCTCAAGCATATTCATCTCAGTCACTGCTTAAAAACTTCAATTTTGAAGTAGAATTTCTTAATATTTTTAGACAGTGAATAATAATGGAAAATCCACAACAAAAACATCTTAACCTAAGAAACTAAGATAGCAAAATAATGTACTACTTGCTTCCCTAAAAAATAAGCAAATGTCATCATTGTGTCCAACAATATCACCAGCAAGAATTCTGAGCTATAGGCTAATATTGTAAAAACATAACTCCCCGAATCCAGATGATACTAGTGATAGATAGATCATTTAGATAGATAATAGCTATGAGAGAAGATATCTGGCTGGCTGGCAGGAGGATGGATGGATGGATGGATGGATGGATGGATGGATGGAGGATGGATGGTGAATTGGCAGCTGGGTAGGTCGATATACAAATAATTAGACTTAAAGACAAAAGATGCACCAGGAAACATCTCCAGTGGCTGTGATTCTGACAAATTGTACAGGACTTTCTCCAACCAACTGGAGCTTTCCAGTTCACCCAAATATGTGTAAGGATAGACACATGGAAGGCTTCGCCTTGAGTCCCTCCTTCTAGGAAGGTTACAAGTGCTCAGGTGATACAAATTTCTCTGGGTTTGTGTTTGTTTATAAGTGATAAACTTATCACTCACTGTTCCTATATTTACCACATAAATATATAAACAAACACAAACCCAGAGAAATTTGTATCATCTGAACACTTCTAACCTTCCTAGAACCAGGGATTCAGGGCAAAGCCTTCCATGTGTCCATCTTACATTTGAAATTCTCTGAAGCTGGAGGATTAGCTTACATTCAGCATCCAGGTTAAAAGATTAAATCGAGGCAAGAAGTAGATTTGGAGTCTGAATCTAGATACCTGGAGCAGAAGAGTATAGGCCAGGGTATAGGCCAGCAAAAGGGCATAATGATCTCAGTACAGAGAAGAGGCATGAGAAAAAAGACAAGAAATCACATTCTGTATCCAGGAGACTGAAAGTGTCAGATCTGTTAAGGTGTTAGATTCCTGGTAATCTCAGAATGCAAGACAGTGACACTGTAAGTCCAAGGAGAACTAAACTACTCCATAAAGTGAAGCCAATTCTTCTGGGTCAGAGGGCAGACAAAGCAGAGGATTAGCTGTCAGACAGCTTTTATGTCATCACTTGCTTCAATATAATGGTTCTGGAGGTTAACAAAAGTATAGGAGGAACATTTGCTAGACAAATGCTAGTTTGGAATTGAAAAATAATATATTTTTGGAGTGAGTAAATCCTCTAGAATAGGTATACAAGATAGTTCAATATTTTTCAGAATCCAGCAGGGTTTTAGGCAGTGAGTTGAGTTTCATGCAAGCCTGAATTTGTCCTTAATCTTGCTTGCTGGAGAAAAAATGTTTTAAATCACCTTCAGAGTCTATCAATGCCTTGTATATAGTGCACTGAAATTTCAAGATGTGCATTTAAATTCATGAAACTTTTAATTTTCAATGGGAGACAAAAAGGTATGTCACGTACCTCAAGACTCTAGGGTGGCAGAGTCATCAAATCATCTGTATCCTCTCTGCATGCCACCAGTATTTCTAAGGAGAAATGAAAAGAAAAATTTAGGGTAGGCTCTTGAGTCCTTGCAAATTTTCATTACTGTTTCCCTCAATGTTCTGTCACAGATTTCTTCCAATGCTGTCTTATCTCAGTGCTAAGGTCACCACCTCAAAAAGTTCTCCAAAGAGCCCTGCCCTGATGAGTTTCTCCCACAGGTTGGCACTGTATTTTCCTTAGCACTTATCATATCTGAAAGTCCCATAATCATCTATATACTTGCTTACTGTCTCCATGAAACAAAAGCTCCATGAATGCAGACACCTGGTTTTTCATCTTCATCACCAGGCCCCTATTAACTAGAATTGGGTCTGGCACTTAGGTGCTTGATAAAAATTTTTTAAATAAATGAATATACTCTCTATATGCTGTTGTCTCCATGCACTGAGACCCTAGAACTAAACCTCCGCTAGGAAGAGTCTACAACACCAATGTGAGAAAGAGAAAATGGACCTAAGGAATAACTATTCTAGTTGTCATTCACTGTCCGGGAGGCAGGGTCAAAGAATGCACACCTAGGGGTGACAAAATACATGGAATTCACATTTACAAATAATCTTTCCAGTTCAGTACCTAACAAAAAAAAACAAACTATAGAGAACTTGCCTATCTGATTCTAAATCTGAAGGTTTGCTGCAATACACACATAATTTTTAGATTAGAGGTTACATTATTATTTTCAAAACATATATTCAGAACTATAACTTAGCACCTTTTGATTTATATAAATACTTCTCTTTGTTCTAACTGAAAATGTTAGAAATTCAGTATCCTTAAATTTTTCTCAATAACTCAATAGCCTCAATTAAATAAGTTATGTAGTAAAATTAAACTATAGATTTATAATTATATATCAAAATAGAAAAAATAAAATACAACACTTTTTAATGTTTATCAATACTTTTATATTTTTATATGTTTTAAAATATAGTAATTTTAAAGTAGCACTATTTTGATGGCTAACCTGAGTTTCCAATCATAAAATCCCAAGCAATCACGAAGATAAACAAACAAGAGATCTAATCCTTAGTTCAAATATACTGATTCTAGAGACTCTACCAGTCCCCTAAAGGCTTCAGGGTTACACTGACCTCAGTGGGACTGTTTCTAAGCTGCACAGGAAATCTTCCCATTGAGTCACTGCTAACCAGGAACCATGCGTCTAAACACCTAATCATAAGATACCATTAAACAGTCTTATTGCCATGGTAGGCCTCTTTGAGGTAAAATTCTGGTTTTTGCTTGCTTTTAGTAAACAAAATAAAAACACATTCCTAATATATATTACTATCAACAGTTAATCTATCATTAGGAAGTTGATTAACTCTCTCAGGACAATTATATTTGCTATATCTCTAAGTTCTTAGTTGGGACCTCAGTGTGACTTCCACATGATGAAGGCAATACCAGCTTAAAGGCTTATTGTGAAAATGAAATCGCACTTTTTTTAAGCCTCTTGAAACCTATATGGAGCTTCAAAAATGTCAAGCAGTCAGTACTTGTAGCAACTTCCAGTTTAAGAGGACTATAAGAAAATGTAAGAACTCCTTTGTGGTTCTCTAAATTAAATAATTTTTTGTAATATTCAGAAGTGACTTATTGGTATTTAATTTCCAATATTTTTGACAAAACTTATATAAACCAAGAAGTCTTTAGCTACTTTAATTTCACATTGTTCATTTTTAATTTATGCAAATAATATTTCAATAAAGAAAAATGTGTATATCAGATTTAAACCCTCCCTATTTGCTCAGAATATTCCTAGTTTTAGCACTAAACATCTCATATTCTGAAAATCCCTCAATCCCAGACAACTCTGCTAGTTGCTCCCCTGCAATCCCACTAAATTTGTTTTCTTCCAGCCTTTTAAGTTATATTCCCTTTCACTATTTTTAGTGTTAAAAGACAAGCATCTCATTTATTCAGTTACGCAACAAGTGTTTGCTGAGCCAGCTCACTAGTACGGCAGGCTCTGGGGGCACAAAGAGGAAAAAGACACATCCAAAAAGCTTCCAAACCTAGTGGAGCCCTGACCTTAACCCCCTAATTAAATCATTATAACACTTAAGGCTGACCCAAGCACATGTGGTCACTAACATCTATGGGGTTGTTTTGTGACTATCTACTATCAACAGTTAATAGTAGATAAGAAATATTTTTTCCAAGCTTGAAAACAGCTTTTATTCATCACCCAAAACATGTATGTGTATCTCCCCACTCTCGTACTCCATACTCTCATTTGTGTGCATTCACTCTCCCACTCGCTCTCTCCCTTCCCCCAGAAAATACCCAACAGGATCTATTTTTCTTAAACAGATAAAAGATTACAATAAAATCAGGGTGCAGACCAATTCTACCCCAGATTCAAATACTTAGAAGCAAAGATGTCCCAAAATAGTCATGCACTTTTTTAAAAAAGGTGGGGGGACATCCTATTCTCTGTACTAACCACTCTGCCAAGCACTTGACATGAAAGGTATCCTCTAGACCAGCACAGTTACATTCAAACAGCAGGATCAGCTAACCCTTGAGTTAGATTAGACAGAAGAGCCTTGCCTAAAAGTGGGTGGAAAGACCAAATGGGCACTTAAACTTGGACTCCACACTTATATGTGACCCTGCTGGGTATACCAGCTTCCAATACTCCATGCACATAGAGAGTGGAAGCTCTATTAAATATTTCCAGCCCACTGTGTATCTTGAGAATCATTTATTTCATCAAAAGGGGGGGCGGGGAATGTTTCCAGCTTTCTTTATGCTAATCAAAAACACTGTTGTGGATTTAGATGATAATTGAACTACTTGCTTTGAAATCTCTAGAATGAAAATTCTTATTAAAATTTTTCAAATGCAAACTAACAATCACTAGAATATGGATAAAATTTAATTTACACACATACACACAGACATACAATACTGAGGTATTTTAAAATAATCTTGTAACAAATATGAGATATGTAGTGACTGTCCTTTTAAAATATGGAAGAAATCTCTGTAGTCAAACAAAATTCCTTGGTTCTCTCAAGGTTGACAGGATTATCTATCTTAAAAGATAAATATGAGTTATGAAAATTAAGGGAGGAAAAGGTACATTAGGAAGAAGATGGAGCATTGCACAAAGGCACCTATGCAAACAGTTGGCTACCTTGCGAAACAACAGGAATCTGTTTAGGGAATCTCAGGAGTGGAGTCAAGAAATGTTCTTGAAATGAAAACTGGTGAAGCCTAGACGGTGGCAGGATTTAGCACCTCCCTGAAATGCCTGGACTCTATGCCCTTAGTCATGGGATGAAATAGGCTATTTTAGATAGTGGAATGACTTTTTGCTAAGGTAGCAATGGAAAGAATGGATTGAAGACAGAAAGGGATCAGGAAAACAAATCTCTAGAGAGAAATAATATAGATGACCTTAGGCCCCAGAAAGTATTCATCCATTTAACATTTAGCACAATATTAATTAAGCATTAACTAGGTACCATGAACTGAACTAGATGCCCTGAAAATGGCATTGATAGGGCCTCCCCGGTGGCGCAGCGGTTGAGCGCTGGGTTGCGAAGCTGCCCGTGGCCTCTGCAGCGCCAGTTCGATCCCTGGCTGCTCCCTGGCCACCAGAGGAGGGTCCACATGGCGCGCAGACCTCTCCTGCCGCCCGCTGCTCCCCTCAGCAGTGTACCTCGGTCCTTCTGCCTGCTCTGCTCCCCGCTCTGGCTCTGGTGAATTCTCTCACCCTCCCGCGCTTCTGACTGTACCAGTGCATGTATAAACAAAAAAAAAAAAAAAAAAAAACAAATAAATAAATAAATAAAACATGCCTCTATAAAAGATAAAAAATAAAAAAACAAAAAAAAGAAAATGCATTGATAAAAAGTCAAAATCTCAATCTCAGTCTCAAACATAGTTACTACATTCCACTTTGCCTAGAGCAGTTAGTAGAACTATAAATAGGGACTAGTAAATAGGGACTAGTAAAGTACTGTTCATACTAGCAAAGTAAGTACAAGCAACACAGAAATGTCAGTGTTTGCTTCCTTAATTCCTTCTCTGGAGATGGCATTATCGCAGAAAAGCAAATGAGGATGACTTTGAAGAGGTGCATCCATTAGGCCTCCCTGGCTCAGCCATCAACCTAACCAGTGGGAGAGATATGTGTGGGACAGCACTTGCTGCTTCATTACTGCTAACTGAATCTGATTGGAGATAAGATTGCTTGAGATCAGAAAAGTTTAAATTCTCCTCTACAAACTGGACTCTCTCCTTGAAAAACTGAATTATTTCTCTATCTTTTCAGTATAGACCCAGATGATTTTACCTGTTGCAGTTCTTTGTAAAGAGTAAAACTTCTACTTCTTTCAAACTATAGACCTGTTTCACAGGGTATGTACGCCACACTCTCAGAGCCAGCATAGGCAGGAGGCATTTCACTGTTTTTGTTTGTCTGAGAGCTGGCAGAATTAAGTGGAACCCTCAGTGGTGGAGCATCCTTAGAAAATTTTCACTGAGGAGTGGAAGGGATGAAATTATACCAAAAAACAGTGCAATCTATTTGGCTGCCCCCATGAGGCTGAAGCTTGAGGCATACTTCTCAGGAAGTAGGAACACAGGCCACTAAACACTGCTAGAAGTTTTACTTTACTTAAGCTACTGATCAAACTTCTATCCTATTTTTTTTTAAGATTTCTTTATTCATACAGGAACCAGGGTACAGGCCAGATGTGCAGGAGGGTGAGAGGATTCACAGAGACAGAGCAGGGAGCAGAACAGGCAGACTGACGAAATACATTGCTGAGGGGAGCAGCGGGCAAGACAGGAGAGGTCTGCTGCACCATGTGGGATCCTCGCCGGCTGGCCAGGATTGAACCGGCGCTGCAGAGGCTGCAGACAGCTTCACAGTGCGGCGCTCAACCGCCTGCAACACCAGGGAGGCCCCCTATCCTATTTTTACATGGTGTCATTTAAGAAACAGAAATCCCAGTTCTTCGAA